GCTGGACATAGCGCAGGAGCGCATTTGACTGCGTCTCTATTGCACGATGACAAATGGATCAAAGACATGACACAACAAGGATACTTCGCGTTATTAAAGGGAATCGTATTGATAGGTGGAATTTACAAGTTACAACCCATAATCGGTACCAGTCATTCGGTAGCCCTCAAACTGACTGAGTAAATATTTGATTTCTTATTAATCGGATATGTATACTTTTTATAACGCGCACGTGAATATATTATGTTATCGTTTTCAGCGAAGAAATAAAGGAATTTAGTTTTTCCACTTTTGAGGAAACAAAAAATCGTCGTATCCGTGACTTGAAAGTTATCATAGCCGTAGGTGATAGTGATTCTCCAGCATTTGTAGACGAATCGCGCGAATATACTCAGGTACTTAATTAAATATTATATATTGTGCGGATCTACATTGTAACCAGAAATTATATTGTTTCAGAAAATTATTTCTATCGTGGATAACGTGGAATATCTTTTACTTCCAGACATCGATCATTTTGATATAGTGGAGAAACTTTTAGATCCAAACTATCATCTTGCTAAATTGATATTGAAATGCTTTCAATCTAACGTTCGTTAAACAAATACGTAAATAATATTATTTATTATAAGGCACTATATATTCATTATAAATGCAATTAAAATCTGATTCAAGAGATTTTTATTAAGAATTATATTAATATATTTCTTTATATATAATTTATCTCATAATTAAATTAAAAATATTTTATATAATTGTATTAAAGATATTTAATATTAAAATTAATCAGCTTGTTGAATTAATATTGTTCAAATCGAGGTTATTTTTTGTATAACAATGATCTAAGATAACAGCTTTTACTATATGTTTGAGTCATTTAGATTTTGTCTTTGATGAACTCACTTCCGTTGGTTTAGAGATAAATTGCGCTGTCGCTTTTTTAGATACGATAATCTTAGGTTGGATGATTTGTAATACAGTATCCTTATTTCCTTTGAATGTTACATCATTTGTTACAGTAACGGCATTCACATTTTGCAATTGATTTTGTCGAGTAGCTGTTTGAATGGGTAATCGGATTATTGTAGATCCTGCACGGATGTCCCGTACAGGCGCTATAATTTGTCCCGTTCGCGTGTTTACCTTCAAATAATTATTTGTGATATTTTGAACAGTAATTATATTCGAATTTGAAGGTACGAGCTTCGTTGGAGATTTCACTAAGGGGACTAGCTTGTCTCCAACTTGTAAAACGCATTTGTTAATGGGTATTAGCTTAGTCGTATTAATTTGGTTGCTTTCATTAGTTAAATCAACTACTTCTTTAATTTGGTCTGTTCCTTTTGGCGCATTTTCTTGAATAGTCTTTTCCGTTTTATGCTGAGTGTCTTCCCAAGTCATAGGAGGTTTAGCGAATGAACGTAGTCGCAGTAGAGGTTTCTTTCCTTCCGGTTGCTCATCATTTGGCATATCGATTACTTCGTCCATCATATTTTTCGTTATTACTTTTGGTATATCATTCGTCTTTGCTACATTTCCCGTCAGCTTTATTACATTTTCTGTTGTCAATTCTATTGTATCTTCTTCTGTTCTTAGCTCCTCTGCTGTATCCTTTATTCTCAACTCTGCTGTAATATCAGTGCTCACAGCTGTCATTTTCCTGGTTACCGCATCTGCTATACCCTCTGAAATCTTCTTTGTTGCAGGATCTGTTATTTTGGGTACATCAGTTTCCATCACCGCTAGATCCTCTACAACATACATATAAAATACATGTATATGATTCTTCCATTTTGATAAAAACTTAATTTTATATATCTTCAATCTTATTAATACCACTTGTGCAGTTTGTTGTAGAAAATGCTGGTAACAAGTCCTCTTGTATTTTAGTTTCCCCAATCTTTTTTATAATTGATATAGTATTACTATCACATAATTTTTTAATCTTTTCACTAACTGTCCTGGTCTCATTTTTTGACACTGCCGCATTTTTTTCTACAGTTTTTATTTTAACTTTTTTGATACATTCCTCTGGTATAATTTTTACAGTAGTTTTATTTGAAATAGTTTTATCTGTAGCATGATATATATTTGTTACATTTGTATTAAATTTGCTTTTTTCCATAGATAATTCATTTTTTTTAACTGTGCTATTCATATCTTCTTCAATATCACTATCCTTCTCACTTATCAGAGATAAATTATCTTCGTTCTTATCTTCAATTATACTTTCTTCTTCATCTTCATCTTCCTCCGAAGTTGTATTTTCATTAATTTGGTCTTTTATTTCTTCTTGTTTCTTTGTATATTTGTCAAATACGGCAGCTAATCGTTTCTCACCCTCAATACGATTATCGGATAATTTTTTTGCTAAATTTTTATCTTTTACAGCTGGATCTTCAGAATTTTCAAGATATAAAGAAAAGGTATCCCAATAATCATTGCGTCTTGCGCGTTGTAAGTGTTCTCCAAGTTCTCGGAAAGCTTTCTTTGCTGCAATATATATCAATAATATAACATAAAAATATGTTGACTAAATACATAATAAAATATATTACGTAAATAAAAATGCTCATAAACTTAAAAAAATAATATAGCTTACCTATTTGTTCTTGTGTTTTTCTATCCAAACATAAATTTCTTTTGTGATTACACCTAGTAACACATTCCAAAATATCCCTATAATCAGGAAATATTATATCATCTGTAAGAGCTCTATTTTTTTTCATTTCATTTCGTTTAATAATTTTAGAGTTAATAAAACTCGTTATTGCTTGATCCACAGCAACAATCTGAGTTGTGTTTAAATGTTTAGGACGCAAATATGTACGTCCCGCATCAGCATTTTCTCCTGTTAGTTCACAAAGCTTACTATACAATTCTACCATTTTCCGTTTATACCTCTCGACTTTTATATAATTACTGTCATTTTCTTCATTAAAGTCAACTTCTGCGTCTTCCAATTTTTTTATAATTGACTCGCACTTTTTCATAGCATGTAACACTTGCTTAATCTTTCTTCTTGTCTTAAGAGTCTCTTCATTATTATTATTATCATCATCATCATCATCACCATCACAGTCTGATTCTATTTCATTATTAATTGATGTATTGTAAGTAGCAAAAGAAGTAGAAGGAATTGCATCATAGGTCTCATTTTGTAAAATTCCATTGCATTGCGTATTCTTTTTAATTTTTTTCTTCATCTCGTTCATCACTTCTTCTATGTGTACATATATTTTTTTGCCATCCTTCATGATAGCTTCACGCTTCTCATTTAGAAAAGAGACAAAATTTTCTGATCTAACATATAATGGATCTAAGTTTTCATACCGTCTCTTTAATTTATCAATAATTTTTTCCATATCTGTTTTATCATATTCTGGACATTTTTGCAGACACAAACTTATAAATAAAGGAAAGACATCATGTGGAATATACGATATCTTTTTCTTTTCTTTTACAATCAATTGTGTCTTTTCAGCTATCACTTCCTGTTCTTCTTTTGATTGTACATTGTTATTAGATCTAACAGATGCTTCTTGACGAACATATGTAGAATCTACGTCAAGTTTATTTATTACTTTAAATGTTTCTTGATTTGTATTTAACTTTAGCTTCTTCTCCATATTATTATGAATTATCTTTTCTTCGTTTTTTCGTTTTAGATGATGTTCTTCAACTTTTTCATCATTATTAAATAAAATTTCCAACTTTCCAGGAATAATAGATCCATTATTAGCTTCTATACAATTGACCTTAGATTCTTCCGATTCATTTTCCTACGATAACAAAATTTCTAATCAACAACAAATTTTGATTTTAAGATTTTATTGAAAATTTAGATTATATATTAATTCTTTCTTTCTTTCTTTTTCTTTTTTTTTTTTTTAATAAAACTATCACTCTTGTAAAACTTCTGTTAAAGAAATTAAGACAGACAAATTTTATTAGAATTCTACCTTTTGTGAATTTGTCTCATCATCGGATGAAATACAGATGATTTCCATTTCCATTATTTTATATGACATAGTAAATTGTAAATTCGTGTTACCGCCAACCGGATCCGCACTTACTGCAATTTAATTCCTCGCGAACCGTTTTGAATGATTTCCTGTCAAACAGCGACATATTGATAGGAGTGTGTATTCTTATCGGTTATAAAAAACTGTGAATTCAACGTATATATCCAATTCACGATCTGTATGTGATATCCAGTGAAATGTCTTCATTTAACCGAAAAGACATCCGTTTTGGTATTTTTCGCAATTTTCGTGCGTTACTTGCTGCTAATATTCAAAAAAGGATTTCGTGTGTGAACACACATTTTCGGTTTCTTGGAAATAGTAACTTTAAGAGTACCACGAGCACATCGGAATTTACCATCGAGAACGGGAAGGCACCCATTCTGCTACTTGCCTTGCTTCCAGTTATTTTGCTGGTCTCGCGAACGATTCGTTGAGAAGATACGAATTCAAGTATACAAAAGTCCACGCTTCTCTTTCCCTCAATGAATAGTTGACGCTCAGATCAACGAAATAATACGTATTTAGACTGATTCGTTCCTTAATCTCGGTTCTAATGGCGACAAAACAGTACGACGATACAGGATTCAAAAGAACTTCACATAGAAATTTTGGATTACTGTCCGCAATAACCAAAATACGAAGATTGGACGCTCACTAATGTGTATATTCAATATTTATTGGCTAATAGTTAGGGAAATTCGATTCTCAGGGGTGGTATCGATACAAATGAGAACAGTAAAAAGCTCTGATCGATGAAACAGTCGAAAAAGAGAAGAGAAAATCGTCTAAAGATTTGTTCACACGTACTGCATTATAATCAATTTGACGAAAATGACAATATGGCGTTCTCCATGTTAGATGTGTGATTGGTTAACTCATCATACGTTACGTGACGCAAGATTGCCTAAACAGACCTTAATCCAATTAAAAAATGAAATATTTGATCATAGAGTGCGCTAGTGTCGACGAGATGCGCAGTGCTTTCTGCGCAAAGCATTCTGTCGACAGCGCAATCTACACTGAATGCTTTACAGTAAAGCTATGCATATAGATGTTGTATTACGTGATTGGTCATCAAATGGAAAAATTCTCAGGATTTTTTAAATTCTCCATTTTTTTATAGTCAATTATGTGATAGTTAATAGTATTCATAAGTGACGTTCGGAGAGATGCTATTAGCGCTATAAATGCAACATTTCAACACTGTTCATAAATCAATAGCGCAATAGCAATAGCAAGTCTCGTGAATAGCAGCGTAACATTTGTATTAATCTTGTGTCTACTAGAGATTGATTTCAGATCTCAGATGGAAAGAGAATTGGCTAATTGCATTTGAATAATTCGACCAATTAACGTAAGGCTTTAAAACTGCATCGACGTATGTACTGGACGAAACATATGGCAAAATTTCTTGATTTTTTATCTTGACGAATCCAGAAAGAGAGCAGTAAATGTATATACATGGATCTTTTTTCTACTATTTATTTATTGAGAAAACGTCTAACAAAAAGGAGTACAATAATTTATTTGTATAAATTGAACATATTCTTAATGTGATGCAATTTTTAAATATATAATTCCATTTATAAATGTTGTAAAGCTGAAATTATTAAATATTATATTTAATTATTAATAAATAATTATGGTTTCTACTTATTTATTATATAAAATAATTAAATTGAAGATAGATTATACTATCAGCCACATGTCTCTGGTCTACAAAAATTGCTCTTATTCCTATATTGTCCTTTTCTACATTTCTACATTTCTACATTTCTCAAGACAATGACTGCTTTCCTTCTAAAAAATATATAATCAACATACTTGGATGTATTCTAAAATTCATTATTAATATTGAAAATCTATAGTTTACGTAATGTGTACATTATCAATGCTAGTAGTAAGTTTTAAAACATCTCTTGACAAACTCAATCGACAATATTCGATTTTCTTTCCAAGAAAAATCAAAACATATCAATTGAGTTTAAACGAAATTAAATAGAAGAACGCAATTTGCGTTTAAAGTGTTCCAAAATTTATTTTAATGCTGATAATATATATATATATATTATATAAACTACAGATTTGTTGACCAATCAGAAATATCTCCGATATTCTTTACAGCTTTTGATTGGTCAAAATCTGTTGCCTGTTCCCTATTGCCTGGCATTGTGCAAGGACCTTAATACTCCATCCAGAATTATATATCCATAATGCTAATAGACAAGATGGCTGTATAAGTCCCGGTTTACAATAGGTAATTTCAGGATAGAAAGTTTCTAAAGACTGGAGAATCTCTTTATCCCGCAGCCAATCAATACGTTTAAAAAAAGTTATCGTACGAAATGTAATACCATAATATCGGATCCCGTAAAATTCCCCAAAAGATGTGATACACAGCCTGAATTCATCATTAGAGTTTGATGCTCATGGAGGATTGATCTTTTCCGGTTGTGAATCGCACGGAACACGATGGGTATGTTACGAAATTTAATAATTTTGTCATAGTTTATAAACCGAGATTACGAAAAAAAACTAAAATCTTTTAACAGAAACTTTATCGATATATTTTGCTTCACATTTTTTGCATTACATGCACTTAGAAATGTTAAAAATTATATTTTTTTTCTGAATATAATCGTATAGTGTGCTTTGTCGAATACAACGTGTAGTAGTAGTACTGTCAGACATCGATGTAAATAATGTGATAATTAATATTGCAATTTTGTTTTAAATTTTAATATCCTAATATACAAATACGTGTTTTCCATATTTTTTTTCATGTAGGAGATTTATCTGAGACTACAAACATACATAACCTAGCTATTCGTTGTATGCACTGTAGGCAAACCTAGAGGTCTTCGTACAGCGCGTAAGCACGTAAACCATAGACGCGAACAGCGATGGAATGATAAGGACTACAAAAAGGCACATTTGGGTACGAGATGGAAGGCTAATCCTTTCGGTGGTGCCTCCCATGCTAAAGGCATCGTTTTGGAAAAAGTGTAAGTAATAATGTTCGTACAATTAATTTTGATACAATTTGCATTTGGTTTGTCACAAAACCTATTTATATTTTATCATTCATTAGTGGAGTGGAGGCCAAACAGCCAAATTCTGCTATCCGTAAGTGTGTCAGGGTACAGCTGATTAAGAATGGAAAGAAGATCACAGCCTTTGTACCAAGGGATGGTTGTCTTAATAACATTGAGGAAAACGATGAAGTTTTAGTGGCAGGTTTCGGTCGTAAGGGTCATGCTGTCGGTGACATTCCTGGAGTAAGATTTAAGGTGGTAAAAGTTGCCAACGTTTCGCTGCTTGCTCTTTACAAAGAGAAAAAAGAACGACCTAGATCTTAAGATTATCAGTCTTCAAAGAATGTATCGATAAATAAAACATATAAAAAATTTGTAATTGTTTTATCTTTATTAAACGTTTTCCTTTATAATGCATTTATAGAACAATTGTATAAATAGACAATTCTGTTTTTTTTAATATTACACAAATGTTTATAACAAATTATACTAAATAATTATGGAGCTATACATAGAAATAAATACAAAATTATGCGTTGTTTATCAAATTCTCAAGTTCCTCATTAAAAATAACTATATCTTCTATAATCGTGTTTAAAGGCGCAACAGTCTTCGGTAATTCTTTTGCTAATTTCACATCAAGTATTTCTTTCTTCGCTTGCAGTACCTGTATGTGTGATTAAAAAAATATTTTAAAACTTATCTATATTTTTATTTACATATTAGTGATGGATAAAATTTGTACCTTTTTCAGAGAAGAAAAGTTTAAACATATACTTTTAATGTTGGAGCAAATAGAATCAGAGGTATCTTTGTCTAAATCTCTAGCTCGTATTGGCCAAGATGAAATTGTACGAAAAGCTTCCACAAACTTTTCTTTCTCCTTATCGAACAATACATTTTGTTCTTCATTAATCAGTCTATCATCAGTCTATATCAATATTTAAATATAAAATATTAGTAAATTGTACATCTTAGTCTAGTCATCTATAATTTTATAAACATTGTAATACCTCTATATCCAAATCTTCGGATGGATTAGTTTCAATTTTTTCATAATCATTATTCGACATTTCTCTCTCACGTTCAAAATATTTAGCAGCTTCTGTATAACTTATTTTTGGTTTAATGACAGAAAAAGAAGAAGTCTGGTTGGTATCATCCATACATAACTAACAAAATGTTTATAATGTATAAATATTCTATATATAATATAGATAATATAATATACACATACAAAATATATGTACAGTACTCAATATATAAATTTATTAAAATTATATATTATTTATTAGATTTAATAATATTATATTCAATATTATCAAATCTTAACATACCTTAATAATATTTATAAATGTTTCTTCCGTTTCATTTTTATTTACAAAAGGTTCTACGTATACCTTTCTCATAAAGTCTAATAACAATCTTAGTGTTGGCAACTGTTTCTTCAAAGAACACTTACCCTGTAATATAAAATTATATTTTATTGAGATACATATGAACAATAACGTTAACATAATATGTTATATAGCATAATTACAAAATACATTTATAAAATATTTTATAAAATACAAACCAATAATATATCTTTGTTGTCACAAATACCAATCTGAGAATAGTGCTCGAATAACT